ATTTTTTTCTTCTTACAAATACAAAATTCTTGTATTTATAGAGTAATATAGGTTTATCAGAGGTTTTCTTACTGTTTAACTTCCTATAGGAAAGCTAAAGAATTATGAGGCATTTTACCCCTGCATTTACAAAAAGAGAATCAGTTGGATTTAAATAACTCCACTGTTAGTAACTCTAGGGATTCTAATATTTCCCTACTTATTTTATGAGAAAATAGAGTAGTCCAAAATACTGGACAGCACTGTCACAAAAATTATCATTAATAATACCAAATTCATGTTTGTTTTTTCTCCAGTCCTAAGGCTTGAACTCAGGATCTAGATGATGTCCCTTAGATTTTTCTCACTTCCAGCTTTTTGGTGGTAAACTGAAGATAAAAGTACCATAGATGTTCTTGCCTGGGCTGGCTTTGAACCACAATCCTCAAGTCTCAGTCTTCTAAGTAGCTAGGATTACAGGTGTGAGCCACTGATGCCTGGCAAAAGCTAATGTATTTCTAGTATATACATATTTCCATATACTAGGAGGTATAGCACATGCAACAGGTGGAAATTCATGTGGCAATCTTGTTTATATTATACAATGATCTGCTACTTTAAATGATCTAAAAGGCATTTAAAAATATTAATTATCTGCTTCAAACTTTACTGGCAAATTAATATGTTTTCTGTTGTTGTTGTTCAAAAGACTAAGTCATACAGAATTACCAGAACAGTTCACTGTAGTGTTAGACTAAAATAAAATGCTTTATAAAAGCCAGATATGTAAGCCACATAGCATAATCAAAAAGGCTTTCCTGAACAGGTCCAAGAGAGTATTCAGTTCAATTGATGCATGAAGTTTCAGAGTCAAGGTCAAATAACACTTTCCCACTTCTTTTTAAGTGAAGATCCTTACTATACAACTACACATGAGAACTTCTGGATGTGTTCCCAGAATTCAGTTAGCTTTATCCTTGGAATATCTACAGACTGGCAAGACAGCCTAAGTTCTGATATACACTGAAAGATGTTTAAAATTCTGCTTTGTTTCTATAATGTTATGCTGTAAGATAGCTCATGGTATCATTTGTAATCGCAGAGTAAAAAATACTTCCAGTCTTAAAAATTGCATAGCTGAAATTCACAAATCTTCCACAATAAACAATTTTCTATGATTTATTACCAATACTATCCAACTTTAAAAGATCAAAGGAAGCTGACTGGAAATTTAATTCCAAGAAAAAATGTAATGCATCTTGTGCATCATAAATACATTCTAAGAAAGGATATCATTAAGCCTTCTAACAAGGTGGTGATAACATGGCTACTAATAGCACTTTAAAAATATCAGAATCAAAATAAGATCTAGCTTGTGGGTTCTAAAGGCAAAACCTGGCTGACAGGAATCAGCATTGCTTTGTGATTCCAGAAGGGAGAATGCAGGAGCAGCCTGCAATACCAGAAATTAAAAAAAAGTTCAAGGGATAGTAGTAAACTGAAAGGACCAGGTCCTTATGAAAGAGATGCATGGCTCTTGACTATGAAAGATCTTAATATTGAAAATACATGGGAGGCTCAGACCTGAGGACCGTGATTCAAAAACAGCTCAGGCAGGAAAGTCCATGAGACTCTTATTCCCAATTAATCACAGAAAAAGCCAGAAGTGGTGCTGTGGCTCAAGTGGTAGAGCTCTAGCCCTGAGTAAAAGGAGGTCTGTGACAAAACCCAGGCCCGAGTTCAAGTCTCAGGACAAATAAAAAGGAAGGAAGGAAGGACGGAAGAAAGGAAGGAAGGAAGGAAGGAGAAAGAAAAAGAAAGAAAAGAAAGAAAGAAAAAAAGAAAAAAAAAAGAAAATACATCGCACCAGAAATGGAGCTTTGGCTCAAGTGGTAAGAGAACTAGCTTTGAATGCAAACGCTCAGGGAAGTTCCCAGGCCCTTAGTTCAAGCACCAGAAATGACATAAACAGACACACACACACACACACACACACACACACACACACACCCATGGGAACTGGATTATTGTATTTTTACACACACACACACACACACACACACACACCCATGGGAACTGGATTATTTTTGCAACTTTCTTGTAAGTCTTGTATTTTTTCCAAATAAAATGGGCTATTCAAAAATCGGAAAACAAAATAAAAGCCAACAAGTAAATTACCCCCACTGTTTTGGAAGCCAGTTTCAATTGTCACTCAGAGTTAAGGAAAATCCAGAAATTTTGTTGAGGAAAATAACATTCAGAAAAATAATTCCTCATAATCTCTAACCATGACATTCAAAAGATTTTTGAGACTATCATCATTCACCTACATGGACTAAAGATTCAAATATTAACTTTTGTGTTAAAAATTCAGTCTTTTAAGATTCAAATCTTTCTTAATTATATTTAGTATCTCAAAGGCAAATAAATACACATATAGTCTTTCAACTGTACAGAATTACTATAATTATTTTTTATTGCATTTATCTCATTCCTATTTGATCATGGACTACAAAGGCAAGCACCATGCATTTCTAACTTCATAACCTAACTGTGGCACCTTTCCCTTTTTCTTTTCTTTTCCTTTCCTTTCTTTTCGCTCTCTTTCCTCTCTCTCTCTCTTTTGTTTTTGTGTGTGTTCTAGTCCTGAGGCTTCATTGAACTTCAGGCCGGGGCATGGTTGCTGAGCCTGTTTAGTTAAGGCTAACTAGCACTTTACCATTTGGGCCATAGCTCCATTTCTGGCTTTTTGGTGGTTAGTTGGAAATAAACGTGTCATGAACTTTTCTGCCTGGGCTGACTTTAAACCATGATGCTCAGATCTCAGCTTCTTAAGTAGCTAGGATTATAAACTAGAGCCACTGGCACTCCATGCTGGTACATTTCTTCTTTTTTGTTGGGGGGGGGGGAAGGGTCCAGTCTGAACTCTGGGCCTGCGCACTGACCCTCAGCTCTTCAGTTCAAGGCTAGCGCTCTACCACTTGGGCTACAGTGCCACTTCCGGCTTTTTTTTTCTGCTTATGTGGTGCTGAGGAATCAAACCCAGGGCCTCATACATGCAAGGCAAGAGCTCTGCCACTGAGCCACCTTTCCAGCCCAATGCTGGTACATTTCTTAAGGTACAAGGATATTCATAAATATTATTTTACTCAAAATGAATAAAAATTATAAGCAAGTGATTGATCCAGTTCAATGGATTGCTTTCAGGTGTCTAATACAGTTATAAGAAAAAATTCCCTGGGGGTAAATATGTATAATTCAAAATAAACAATAGTTCTTCAAACTTTCCATATTGCCGGTACATCTTGTTTTTATTCTAGGTTATAGTTCTTGAACTCGGAACCTTGTGTTCTTGCCTCGCTTTTTTTTTTCCCCATCCATCATGGGGCTTGAACTCTGGGCCTGGGCGCTTTCCTGTGCTCTTCACCTCAAGGCTAGCACTCTACCTCTTGAGCTACAGCACCACTTCCGGTTTTCTAGTGGTTTATTGGAGATGAGAGTCTCATGGACTTTCCTGCCTGGGCTGGCTTTGAACTGTGATCCTCAGATCTCAGCCTCCTGAGTAGTTAGGATTACAGGTGTGAGCCACTGGCGCCAGGCTTCAATTGCTTAGCTAAAAAGGCTTATGCTCTAACGGTTGGGCCAAATCTCTTACTTCCTTCAAGTTATATGTAAATTTAACTTTTCTTTTACATATAGTTTATAATTTGCGCTATTACAGATGAGTTAATTTTGTCTTAGCAGTTAGTTTCATTCAAATATATATTTTATTTCAGTGGCTTTCAAAACTTCATGAAATGTAAGTAATTGAGGATATAGTTCAGAGTTATGTAGTATTACTTCTGCTACTTAAAACACTAATATGTTGTTTGAATTTTGCAGTTTTGTTCTTTATGGCAAGATATGTTTCATCTTTTTTTTTTGTAATATAGTATCAGTGACTCTCAAAACTCTAGGCCATAGGAATCTTCAAGCTTCACATAAACATGAGAATACAGTGGATATAAGTATGCAAAAGCAAATCTATTACATCAAATTTAGTACATGCTTTTACAGGCAATGGAATAAAATTTCAAATTTGGCTTGAAAGTGAATCTACAATACAATTTGTTATTTCAAAAAGAAAAGAGACTTGAGAGTTCTAAGCTGTAATTTCGGAAACTAACCTTTATACTTTCTCAGGTAAAAAAAAAAAGTTCTATAGTAAATTAAAGATATTTTTTCGGGGCTGGGAAGGTGGCTCAGTGGTAGAGCGCTTGCCTTGCATGCCTGAGACCCTGGGTTCAATTCCTCAGCACCACATAAGCAAAAAGAAAAAAGCCAGAAGTGGCGCTGTGGCTCAAGTAGAGCGCTAGCCTTGAGCTGAAGAGCTGAGGGACAGCGCCCAAGCCCAGAGTTCAGGCCCCAGGACCAGACCAAAAAAAAAAATTTTTTTTTTCATGAAATAAAATAGCTTTTCTAAAGCTATTCTAGCTTAATAAAATTTATAGTGAATCACAGACTATATTAACCAGCATAAACAGCAAGGTATTATTTTGATCATTTTTATCAATATTTAGATCTTCTATGTCAACATAAAGTAAAAACAAGTGAAAACCAACATTATGTATTTAATACTATCCAAACCAACACACAAATGTTCACATAAACCTTGAACATAGGTCTGAAATGTTTTAGAGTACACACATACAAAAAAATGAACATTTCATTCTTGTCCACTTACAATCCAGTTATGTGCTATGGTAGCATTAAGTTTTGTTTTATTTTTAATACTGTTAATGCTCATTAAGCCTGCTTAAGAGCCACAATTATAACCATCTTTCCATCAAATTTTCTTCTTTGAAAAATGCTCTAAATAGAAATTTATTTTATTGGCTACCCGTTCAAAGCAAGTAGGGGAAAGCAAACAAAAATCTCAAGAAGGAGGGAAGTGGGAAGCTGGAATGGAGAAGGAAAGGAGGAAGCTGGAGGGGAGGGTGGTAAATAAAAACCAACATCAAGAGAAACTGCAAAGTCCTTACCTTCATTTCTTTTCTCCATTTTTGTTGCATCTTCTAGCTTTTTTTGTTTTGCTGCTAACAATTCCCTCTTTAACTGTCTAGCTTCTTTTCTGAGCTCTTCACTATAAAGAAAAAGAAAGTTATTTTTAATCATATAATGTACTAGCATTATATATGTACTAGCATTATATAATTTACTTGTTTTGCTAAACAAAAAAAGTGAATGATGTAATTTTATTTCTGTATGCAATTATTTGTTATAAAGAAACATAACTATAAAAGAAAAAGAAGGAGGAGGAGAAGGAGGTGGAGGAGGAGGAGAAGAAGAAATAAAAAGACATGATGAATTCCTGGATTCAGGATGGTTTAAGCACTACTGATCAAGGTTCATGTATTGGAGACTTGGTCCCAATGATGATGGTATTTAGTGGTGAAGAGGTGTCACCAGTGGGAGATCCTTAGGCTGATAGGGATGGAAGGGGTCTTGGTACATCCAAGTATCTCTAGTTCTCTGTTTCATGGTCATCTGTCATGGAGTGACCCAGCAGGTGTTGCAGATTGTCCTGCCAGAGTCTGCTATACTATTTGGCCTTCCAGTATCCAAAACCGTGAGCTAAATAAATATCTGTTTGTAAAATTAGCCAATCTCAGGTATTTCATTATAGTAACAGAAGTTTGATTAATGTAAACCTTTAGGGTCACTTGTGAATAGTTAAAGCTCTTCATATTGTATCTTTGAACGTCAAACATCAACTCTACAGCCAGCCACAGCTAGGCATGGATCATGGAAGGCCTCCCCTTCTGGAAATAAGAGTCAAAGTTATTGAAGCGAAGAATTAGTAAAATCTAAAATCTAAATCATTCCACATTGAGTGAATATTTAGGGATTCTTCTTGATTTTAAATCCCAGGCCTTTCTACCATTCACTAACCTGTATTAGATTTAGAAATTGATAGGCCTCGTGACATCAGATACAAATAGTCCTATTTTAAAATCAGCCTTCAAGATCTTTGAATTCTGAAGCTATCCTTTCAGATTAAAAATCCACTACCTTTTAAGAGTCCACTACCTTTTAAGTCTTTATTTATCCTTTTCTTCCTGCTCAAGTTGCTCATACTCCTAACAATCAAAGCCAACTCCTTAAGCATAGTTCCTGGTCTATCACAGCACCATAGTGATTCTCATTGGCTTTGTATCCACTCTAGGTGATAAATATGCTATGGTCAGTCTTTTTACCAGTGATTCATTAGTTCTCTTAATTTTCTCAACTGCCCTATGGACACATTACAGCTTCTCCTGGGAGAAATTGTAGAACTGGGTTAAGCATTTCCCCCTAGGACCTGTTCCAGAAGACAAAACTGCTGGGAATACGTAATGTGAGCCATGAGATGTTGCCATGGATCTGCCCGTGTAACAAGTTCTACTGATGATTTCTGTGTGCATGCAGGCTTGGAACTTTACAATAGAAATTAACTTCTCTCTCTTTACAATGTCAGGCTACTCCTACTCCTTTCATTGAACAAACAAATATGCTTAAGTTTCTCTGGATTCTATTCAGATCAAGTGATTATTATCTTCACAAATGGATTCTGTTCCTGAAAGGATAGTCTATATGTAGAGTCTACTTCATAATCTCTTGCAATCTATCTCTCTTGTACTCTACTGAAACTGCTTCGATATATATCACACAAATTCAATGGTCTTTTCTCAGTTCTTCTCTTCTTTGGCCTCTCTATCACTCAACAATGTTAACTACTTCCTTCCTGAAATTCTGTCCTAATCAGACTTCTTAGCATTTTAGCATCATGACTTTTCAGTCCTCCAGTTTACTTTTACTTCCTCCTTATAAGTTGTTAGCATTTTTCTTCTCTATCCACTGTACTCAGACATTTTTATAAAATCTCATGAGATAAACTAACACTCATACATAAATTATTCTCAACTCTAGATCTTTTGACTCGATTTGGGGCCTGCATTTGTAACCATCTGTTACAAATCTTCATGCTAACCAACAGAAATTTAAGGTAAGACATACAAGTAATTTAAAGTTTTCCAGAAGCTACATCTTTCCAAAGTAAAACACACACACACACACACACACACACACACACACACACACACACACCCCTACACACCGCAAACTTTTAAATTATCCTTAAAATTCTATACCAAGCAATATAGAAAATATTAATGTGACATTTTTGTACAAATCTTTAAAATCTGGTATTCATTTTGCTTGTATAGCACATTGCATTACTTACATTTCAAAGACTCTGGTCTAGAAAGAAAACAGGTCAGATATTTCAAAATAATATATCCTACACTTATTCCTTCTAAAATATAACTATTGGTCATGAAACCATTACCAATGACCAGGCCTTGAACTTCTCCTAGACTCTCCCTTTCCTCTTCATTGAATTAGTATAGAAACAGATTTCACCATACTGCAGCTCCTCTTACTACTCATGGTCACTACCAAGTTCAGTTGCTAGAAATGTACATCTCAAATGGATGCAAGTACTTTTTATTTCTTGAAAGTTTATAGACACAATTCTAGAAATCTAAAGTTTAGTTATCTCAAGGAAAATGTAACTGGATAGGCCCCGCACTGGTGATAACAACTATATTTTTCCTCTATCTACTAGCCACATCCATTTCTATTATACTACTTTTCACATTTTTCTTAATTTGGTAAGTAATTCAGGATGGTATTTTTTGAATGCTAAGTCTTTGAGGTGGAGTTTAGTTTGCATGTCTTAAACAGGAAATGATATATTTCTAGGCTTTATATATACTTCAAATGTGAAGTGTACAAAGAATGAAGCAAAGTTCACATTGTATAAAACACTACTGCAGAATCAATAGAACAGTGATTAAACAATTAACTTGGATTCAGAAAGGACTAATTTTAAAAGTCATCTCTATCACTTACAAGCTGAGTAACATTAGTTACCTAAAACTCAGTATTTTCTCATTATATAATATGGATAAGGTATATATATTATTGAACACACATAATACATATTCAATAAAAAGTAGCTACTATTTACAGGTCTATGCTTAAAATTTATTACTGTTTGTCATGGAGGAATAGCTATTGATTATATTATTTATTGTACATGAATCTTACTTCTACTTTGCATAGAGACTTCATAATTTTAAAGAGAAAATGAACACATTCTTGCTTCTAAGAACCTATCCTTAAACAGTCAAAGATTTAGATATGCCATTGAAGTATTATACGAAGTGAACAATGATGAATAGAAATTCAAAAAAGACAAAGTGAGACAGAAAAGGGTCTATACTGATCATTAAAAACTACTTTAATATACTGATTTTTTTCAAGTGACTGAAGATTTACAATGTTGTCAAAATCTTTCAGACTGTTCATCATCACCATTTGTTAGTACTTGTGAAGTATAACTTTTCAAAAAATTAATCTTGACATCATAGACTAATTTTAGGATTTCAAATCTTACATTTTTCTGGAATATAATTCTGTCCATTAGCACTAAAACACATTTCAATCTGTTAGGATAAGAAGGAAAATTAAGAGTACATGCTACCATGTACTGCCAAACCTTGGGCTTTTGTTTGTCTAGGGAGCATCTTTTTGGTCCCTCCAAAGCTTAGTTTCTGTTTGAATGATAATGTTTTTTTAAAAGATAAATATCTTTACAATTGAGGCTACTAAGGCATAATAATTTTTCCTGTTACTATTTTTTCTAAGGTATATTTCTAATTTGAATATATTTAAATTTTATTATGGTTTGTTCATAGCACTATTAGTCATCAAATAATTCTGCATATATATAAATGTACTAAATAAATAGTATCTTCTGTGGAAGATATTAATGGAAAAAAGAATTCCTTTTATAAACAATAGCAATAAAACAACATTAATCCTTATGAACTAATAACAGCCTAGAAATTAAGGTATCCTTTATGATTACAGTAATAGCAAAGAAATTGTTAATTCAATAATTTCTAAAAGTTGTATGGTATGAGCTATAGGCAAAGAAATCAAGATGAGAAAGAAGTGAAGAAAATCCATCTTTGCTAGATTCTGTAAATCATGTATCTTTCCCACATCATCATCATCGTCATCGTCATCATCATCATTATCATCACCATCATCATCATCAATACAGTACTAGAGTTTGAAATGTGGGCCTCATAGCTTGCTAGGGTAACACTACCACTTGAACCAAAGCTCTAGCCCTTTGTTTTGCTGGTTATGATGGAGATGAGTCGAGTAAACTTTTCAACTTGGGCTGTTGTCGAATCACAATCTTCTAGATCTCAGCCTTCTGAGTAGCTAGGATTACCAACAAAAACTACTGGCATACTTCCCTTTTCTGACACAGGCATTTTACTGATAAGAAAGCCGAAATTTAGGGAGATGAAATAAAAACTTGGCCTAAGTCATATAGTCAAATGTAAAGGAACTCGAAATTAAAAATGAGACCTCTTAAATTCTAAGTCTGTACTTTTTCCAGAATAATACAAAGACACTGAACAAAGTTTCTGTAAAGCTTCAATTCCATGTCCATTAGTAATAAAAGCAGTACATGATAAAAAGTAATAACCTCCATGACAAATGACTGAAGTATTTTTAGTTTTAGTATAAGATTACTGAGGCTATGGAAGAGATGGTTTTAAGGAGGAGATATTTGAACTAGGCCCAGAAAGATGGGACAGGAATTAGACATGTGGAGACAGTATGAAGATGAACCTAGTCAGTACACATAACCTAGAATAAAGGAAGAAAAACACAAGGTTATGTTAACAGGTATTTGTCTGTAACATAAAATAATACAAAGGGCACATTCACTGAAGCTGTGAAGAGCATCTGGGGTATATGTGAGTGGTCAGAATATTTTCCTTTAAGTTTTTCATAATCTTAGGTTTCCAACTTTCAAACAAGCGATTCCCCAACTGTTCTTATTGTGTTCATTTTACTCACTATTTACCCATTTCATTAAGTTACAAGTAATACATGTATTCCTTAAGTTACTCTCTTAGAAGTAACTTGTGACCTATAATTTATCATCACAAATTCCCATATCTTTTCATCTTGGCCCCTCAGAAAAGTCTAACTCTACTGATCCCTTTACCTTTC